ATAGCTGACATGAACAAATATGCATATATTTTGTAATGTTTAGAATCAAAACTTGACATTGTTAGGCTGACATAGTACCTATAGTGAATCTGTAAGGCTCAGTTTTGACTGTGTGCACTTAAAATATCCCAAGATGTTATTTTCATCATGAATATGCCTCTGTATGGTAACACATTTCAATTTAGTACTTTGACAGAGGGCGGTATTGCAGCATCAGCTGATATTTGATTCCATTGAATCATTGAATCATTGAACTTAATAACTTGGTAGCCAAGACTCTTAAAAATAGACTAAAAATGTTCAAACAGATTATTTGAATCATGTTTGCACATGTGATTTTAACAAGTACATTGAATAGGTCCCACACATGCAAATATCCGTCCCTGTTTACAAGTTTTCGGGATGAAAATTTCACATTTAGTTGATGATATAGGATCTATTGGTATCTATAGTTGATTTGTGTGGCCACATTTTGCTATATTCACTCACAATATCTAAAATTGTTTTTCCTTCATGAATAGGATTGCATATAGTAATAAATTTTAATTTGGTACATTGTCATTTGACTTTCCACTATACTGGTATGTATCAATGTTTGCACAAATGATCAAACCTCACCGTTCCAACATTTCCTTAAACTTTATGATACATACTCTACCTGATTAGTTATTTAACCTGTAAATGGCTAAATATGCTTGTAGAAACTTCATCTATTTTTAGGATGCATTTGTCACTTTAATACATGCCCATTGCTTCACATCTTCGAGTGTCACTCTATCAAGTTTACCTTTTTTAACCATATTTGCAACCTGAATGTTATTTTGAAATCACCATATCTAACACATTTTAACTTCATTTGCCAACATCTTCCTTTTTTAGAATTAAGTGAAACATGTTATATATTTTCAGGTCTAGTCTGGTATCTGGAACAAAGTATTAGAGTTGGATCAATTTGGAAGCTCTCAAGTAGTCCAATGGTGATAGCAAAGTCTCATAAGGACATGGGCAGTGTGCTGCTATAAGTAACCAAGATGAGTTCATATCAGTACACTGATATACAGCATCTCAAAGACATGGCTTAGATCTTCATGAGAGAGATTCGCATCTTTTTTCAGTAAGGTGAAACTGTATTTTCATATTTCATTGTTGACTTTTGTAGTTATTGGCATTAAAATGTAATGCATATTTGCTATAAAACATGGTAGTGGTCCCATCAAAACTTTAAATTTGAGTGGGATATTAGTTATACAAACAACTGTCTAAGTACCTGAAACAATAAATGTGGAACATAGTACCTGTCATTGTTTCTTTAGTATGTACACCTATTTGCATCTGTATAGGCACATTACAATTTGCTGTCAAAATCACTGTGAGCTATCATGCTTCAGCACCCCTGGGATTAATATCATCAGTTGTACAGACCTAAACTACCATTTGTCTTAAAGACCATTCATTAATCAGCATTGCTGCCTTAAATTTGTGAAACTGAATGTCATAACTGGTATGAAAATTTATTTTTTGTAAAATAAAAAGTTTTTAAAATTTATATATTATTTTAAATTTCCATTAAAATTTAATATATCAATAATTTTTAATTTCAAGACTATTTTCATACAGGCCTTATCAAGTATTACAATTAGGTGTTTATTGCATTTTAAAATTCCTATAATTAAGGAAGATATAGCAAATTTAGTTTTGGTTTCTTAAAAACGATTGGACCTCAAATTGCACCCTATAGAACACCAGCACTACACACTTTCTGACAGCTGTCACATGTCTTGCTTGCAAGGAAATTTCAAAAGACTTTATGTATGAAGTTGAAACAGTAGTGGCATGCAAAATAAAATGCAAATATAAAAGTTTGACAAAAACATTGACCCTTTCAGGAATCAGTACACAATTAATAAAATCCGGTTCAGTACCCACGAATGTAGTCCCAGTCTATTTTTAGATCACTTTTTGCGGTCTAAATTTGGTGGTGATACTAGAGTTAGATTTTGGCATTCTTGGTAAGGATTTAAAGGCAATTGATTATTCTTTAAAATGTGAGCTTATGGTGTGGTTGTCTGTGTGTATTTCGGCGACAGTGCACATTGAGTAATAAGGTCATGGTGATGATTTGGAAGCGAAATCTGTGTTCCGTTGCCTGGTGTTTTGTTTACAATTCAGCCTCTCAAAAAAATGCAGGTCAACCCTTGACAAGAACTAAACCGTAAAGTCATCTTTGAAGGTAGTTTAGATTAACATATGATTTGTATTGATTGTCACACAGTGGAAAGTTCAGTACTGAGAAACAAATGTAGAGACCATATAGTAAAATTAATTGTGTACTATGGCCATATGTGATATAAGGGATCAAATTATATGTGATATAAGGGACCAAATTATATGTGTTTTAAGGGACCAAATCATAGGTAATGTAAGGGACGGAATCAAATGTAATATACGGGACCAAATCATATGTGACGTAAGGGAAAAAATCAAATGTAATATGAGGGTCTAATCATATGTAATATAAGGGATGGAATCCTAGGTGATATAAGGGACCAAATCATGCATGATATAAGGGTCCCAAGTTCCCTCTATCTTCAAAATAACACAAATATCTACACTAACGTTATATACTAGTCATTTTCCATGTAAATACATGTAGATTTATGATGCATTGTCTCTGTAAGAGGCTCTAACTTATAAGTTTATTGTGATGCATCTACGTGAACCAATAGTATAATTAGTCCCTTGTATGTACCCTTTTCCTCTCGTTTCTACCTGATTATTGTGTGCAATTAAATTGGTAACAAAAATCTCCCTTTGTTTTAAACCAAATAAATAACATCCAAGTTTACATTTGATAAATATTATCCTCCTATTTGAAAATCATATACTCAAAACAATATTTTAGATTGACCGCGTTTTGAAGGACGTCTCTGTATGTCAGTAATACGATACGAAGGATGGTTGGAGTCATTCCAAGCGGAAACTCCCATTGATTGAACACAATATGGATCATTGGAAATCGAAACAAGGCTTACCGTTGTATTTCATTTGTGTAATATCGACATCTTACTTGATAAAGCATCACAAAAAACCAATAAGCAGCTTGCGTTACCTGAATATTTTGGGATTCGATATCCATAAATAGCACACAAAAGGTTTATCAGAGCTATAAACGAAAAAAAAATCCCGGTTAATTACATGACATGAGGTAAGAATTTAAATAATTTTGGCAGATATACATTGAAAATGACGTGTTGGAATTAATATCATGTATACTGTCTTAGATGCAGGAAATTACCATAAAATCAATATACCGTCTTACCAGAACCATATTCGATATTATCTTATTATCTTCTCAAATAACACCTCATGACGTCAATAACGTTATAATGGTACATAACAAAAAGGCGTTCAAAGGCTCTTTGAAGTCATTGTATATATATCGTAGTTATACGCATAGAATAAGCGTCTCTACGTCGTATAATAAAAGGAAACCTACATTAATATTGGAAGTCATTGAATTTACTAATAAGCCAGTATGTGCGGTATATTTTGTTCAGAAAGTGTCGGGAATAACAATAAGAACACAACCTACCGTATATCCCATATTAGCTCCTTCAGTATGTCCTTGGGAACGCCATTTACCTTCAGTTTCCTCTGCACGTTAAGTCTATAATTTGTTAAAGTGTCTTTAAAACCAGCACAAAAAAGCCCAAACAATAAAAGTATGATCTGCACGTAGGTATGTGTACAATTACAATTTGCTCAAAAAGGTCCTAAAAATAATCGAATTTTCCACAACGGCTCATCACAAGATTTATATATGTCATCAAAAAGCAACATCAGACCGGTTCGAGTTTCAATCAATATGCAAGGCAAATAGCATTGCATGCTGACAAAAGGCACAATATTGAAACAAAAAAAGTTTAAATTCATAAAATAAGAGGTTCTGAACAACCAGCTTGTACAAGAATTCATAATCATTTGTATCTTGACGTGAATAGAAGCATAAGGACTTAAATGTCAACCTAAATAGATATAATCAACGTAAGTGGACTAATCGTTTGTTTAAATAGCTGTTCACAGTCTGTTTGATCAGAGATCTTGTTAAAGAAATTTTTTTTAGTAATGATCCAATTTCTTAAGACTTGTCAAGTAGTTAGCCTAATTCCATAAGAAAATGTAAACTAACCATATATATATATATATATATATATATATATATATATATATATATATATATATATATATATATATATATATATATATATATATATATATATATATATATCACAATGTCAAAATATCAGTATAACTAGTATCGTTCTATGCCAGAACATTCCGCAATGACAAACACAATAGTGCAGTGTAGTACCAGAAGTTACCACAACAACAGGTAGTATACTGTAGTAATGCAACAGTACATTCATCAATAATAGCTAGAGAGTACAGTGCTGTGATGTACCTGAACAGTAATAACTGACAATATAGTGATGTCACGTACAGAAACAGTCAGCAAAAATAGACGATATAGTGATTTTATGTACCATAACAGTCCGCAATAACGGGCGTTATAGTGTTAAAATTAAAATGGCCTGGTAGGAAACGTGACTATTTTACCCTAATTTCCGAATTTATTCTGACACAATACAACATTATAGTGTCTGTTATTGTACGCTGTCATGACTGGGACTCTTATTCTAGCATTATACGGCACTATAGTGTTTTATTGCAGGATGGGCTGGTATTTTCACAGCACTTTAAGGTCTCACTATAGTATCTGTTATAGTGTGTAGTTCTGGAGTTGTATAGCAATTAGTGTCTATTGTCTTAATAGATCAAGCAATATAATTTTAATATTAAACTTAAAAACTGGCGGATATCCACAATTTTGTGATCACGTCATGGATGACTTTTAACTTATCACATATCGCTTGTTTAAAACTACTCTAATGTACACTATCGTTCTACTCTAACATTGCTTACGAATGTCGAGATTATAAGGTCCGGTGGCCTAGTGGTTAGAGCGCCCGCTTCGGATGCTGAAGGTCACGGATCGATCTCCGGTCGAGTCATACCAAAGACTTACAAAAATAGTACTAACAGCTGCCTTGTCAGGATAATGTGACTGGGTGGGACATCATGCTACATGATACCCCTGTTACATCACTATGTAACGACTGACTCCCGAGAGTTTACTATTTTTTTTTTCTGAAAATTTTATGATTGTCGTAAATTGTATGAAAACAGTATGAACAATAAGTAACCCATAAAGCGAGAACTTCCCTTGCCTAGATCAGGATTCTATACCATTTATTAAACTCACAAACCCGATAAACACTGCAAAATATATCTTTTCAGATTTGCATGACAAAATTTGCATGATATTACACTACGAATAATACAGTAATGTTTATCTATATAGACTGTAAAAGACAATATTGAGAGAGAAGGACGGAATTATAGTTCTATAAAAGTTTTAATCCAGGGTATCAGGTTTGTGTAATATGTCATACTGCAAAGAACAGGTATAAAAAATCCCTAAATAGTCATGTTCCCATTTTAATTATAATTATGTAATTTGTAGGGATGTTTGTGTCCTCATCCATGTTTTTTATGCTTCAAACATCAATGTCTTTTAATCAAGAGAAAGCCATAAACATGTTCCTATTTTGTTATGTTGACGCGATGTTGATTAGTCTTGTCTAGCTAACACTCCTGCCAAATAAAGATCCCAGTTTATTGCCAAGAAACGTCTGAAAATAATTTGTTGTTTTTTTTTTAAAACAAAAAAAAAATTCTAGAATATTTTATATAGTTTTCAGTCTTTTTGATAAAATGTTGGCAATGTACAAACGGTTACGACTAGTTTCCATAAATAGGATTTGATACTGTTATTTTATCACGTAGTCAGTATAGTTTCCCTACAGTGCGTGCAGTTTCATATTTTTGATATTATAACACGTGAGCATATCACTTTATGTGATTTCGATTGGTCCAAATGAGCCCATGAAATTATTGTGCACGATCTTCTTTACCGATTGGCTTTGATCCTGAGAAAACGCCTTCTGTAATGTCTTGCTTTGAATGAATATTTTGGCGGCCATTTTTTTTAACTCGACTCGCGAAAGAAAATTGAGTTAAAATTATCTGTGCAGTCTGAATATGGATATGTTACCTCCACAGGGATTTGTTATGTCATGTTTAACAATATCATCATAAGAAAAATGGCGTAAAACTACAAGACAACAATAAGGAGTAAAGCTAAGTGATAGCCGGTGGCGGGGAGGGGGTATATCTGTAATATAGATATAGAATACCCCGTATATACAAGCGTGGTTTAAATGGTAACTTAAAGAAGTAAACAAATTCACCTCTGTTCACAGAATAATCTGGATATGAATGGGTCTCCTGACAAAACTTTATCCAACCACAGCATCTTTACGTAGCATATATGAGATGTAAATCCGACACGAAAATTAACTTGTTGAAGTCATCAGTACAGTCTGTTGTTTCGAATCAAACACTGGAAATGTCCGGTCTCAATGCATTGCAGTTAATGTGGTAGTTTTTGCATCTGGTAATCCTATTTCCGCATATAAAAGAATTTCAACAATATAACGTTTAGTTCTGAAAGTTACATTTTATGATACACGTGTACTCACTCAGCCGTCGGCCTACTGTACTGTGTACTGTATCAAATAATGTGGCAGCATCACATAAAATTTATCAATTTTTGTTTTGAAAATTGATTTTGTCGTTCTAAAATGCTTAGTTTACTTGGATTGAAGCTTTTTCTTTGATTTAGAGTTTGTTAAACAGTAGCATCTTTTTTTTACCAGTTCAGCTTTGTTTGGGACTATATTTTATGCACAACAAATGAATGGTGCACCGTCTGTCAGAATGAACGAAATTATTCGTTCTTCCTTCTATCTAAATAATTTCCACAGTAATAACAACTATGATAAAAAGAATATCAAAGGGGTTACGATTTAATATTAAATTTATGAAACACGTTGAATAATGTCCAGCTTAAGGCGGACATTATTCGACTCGCTTCATGAATTCAATATTAAATCGTTACCCATTTGAGATCCTCTATCCCTTAGGAACGAGTTTGAATTCAGTGACCTGATTGGATAACCGCTCAAGGTCACTTAATACCTTACTTGTAGGAAATTAAACAGTGATGTAATCGAGTACATTAAAATTGTGTAAATGTTATATTGATCAGTATCAAGGTCGCGCACATATTACGATTAATCTCGTAACAGATGCTGTCAGAAAAGAACTTACCGCGAGTACCAGGCATTAGCTTCGTTGGTTAATTACCCACTTTCTTCTGATCCATAGGACGGAAAATTGCCCTTGACGCCAACATAACCCAGCCGGGCCCACGTTCTTCTGACCCAGATAACGGAAAATTTCCCTGGACGCGCGACATAACCCAGCCGGGAATTGCACTAACGTGTATCTTTATTGATAGCCGGTGGAAAATCATGGATCAGTTACAGCCCATCTTTACTGGAGTCTTTAGGACTCATTCTCCAGCGACTTAAATTGAAAAACAAAATCGTTCACAAAAATATGCAGTTTATACAAACGGATTTTTATCTGGATTTCACTTTAGGTGTCTCCTGTTCTGAAAATAAATGAACTTAATTAGTCTAGCTGGTAAATATCTATCAGGTTTGATTAATTATAATAGCACGGAACTATTTAGGTTACATTAATGAAGATGGTATGGATCTATTTGGTTAAATTGATTCTGATAGTACAAATGTATTAGGCTACATTAATTATGATGGTACAAATCTATTATGTTAGATTAATTATGATGGTACAAATCTATTAGGTTTGATTATCTTTGGTGGCACAAATCTATTAGGTTAGATTAATTCTGATGGTACAAATGTGTTAGGTTAGATTTCTTATGATGGTGCAAATCTGTTAGATTAATTATGATGGTACAAATCTGTTAGGTTCGATTAATTCTGATGGTACGAATTTATTAGACTAGATATCTTATGATGGTATAAATCTATTAGGCAACATTAAGTATGATGGTAACTGTTGTATAATTAATATGTTGCAAATTTATTAGCCTTCATAATTAAAACGTTTTATCTATTCAATCGGAAACATGATTAAATTAGATTATTTACCTTTCGAAATAATTGTCCCTTTATTCCCAACACTGCAACCAGGCAAATCAATCCTGTGTTGGTACAAAGAGAGGTTGTTTACATCCTTATGCTGTATATTCACAACCTCAGACGGGAGCAAGCTAAGTTTCAAAGACGTCGTAGTTTGATACTCTCTGGTCACTAACCATGGTAGACAAGTAACATCCGAGTCCACTCGATGACTTTTCAATTGTTTATACTCTCCTATCATTTTGTGATTTGAAGATATCGAACGTATGTTTAGCTGTAGCCTGTCCACAATGGGTCATTTAGGTGCAGTTGTTGTTGTTGCTGTTGTTGTAGGGTTTAACGCCATTTTCAGCACAAGTTAGGCTATACATGGCGGCCAGCCTTTAATGGTGGAGGAAGAACTCTGGAAAACTCAGGGAAGAACCACCGACCCACGAGAAGCTACTGGCAAGCTTTCTCACCTTAGCCGAGTCTGGACTCGCACTCATTCAGAGGTGAGATGGCAGTGATCTGTAATGGTCAGCGCTTTACACCACTCGGCCACTCGGGGCCCCTAAATTTAGGTGCAGTAAAACGCATTCCATCACCCTGCGACTTGACCTGTACCAGACTAAATAATATACTGATAAAGACCAAATATAATGTTGGGGTTGGTGATAACCAAGGTGGTGAATTTGGATCAAAATTATGTACAATAGGTGGAGTGAATTTTGATTTCAGAGTGTGCAAGGTTGTGGGGGGGATGAGTGGGGGTGTGTGGGTGATTTGGATTTTTAAAGTAACTTTTACAATTTTTCAGTCATATCGCTAAGATGTCGGCAGCGTGGCAGTATATTACGTCTGGCACCGAGCCATCATGCTGTAGACATGTAGCATCATGTCCCATCAAGTCATATTATTCTGACATCAAGCCGACTAGACCTAACTGACTGTAACCTCTCAATTCTGAGCGCTAAGCGAAGCAGCTACTAGTACCATTTCTATAAGTCTTTGACACGACTCAGCCGGAGTTCGAACCTGAGACCTACCACATCCGAAGCGGACGCTCAAACCACTTATTCCACAGGAGCGGTCTGGTATTTGTGTGGGATAGAAGGATTAGTAGATGATCTGTATGTATAATGAAGAACCATTTCACTTTGCTTGAGATAAAGTGATGGTTTGTTTACCTCAAAGTAGAGTCTCTAGAGGAGATGTTCTAAATTCACCCGGATATAATCAAAGTCCCAGACTGTGTATCGGATATTAGATTTATCGGCTGATCCTTACAGTCAAGTTTAGTTCTTATTATCAACCTGTATAACCGATTAAAAACCTTACAATCTGCAGCGGAAGTTTTAGGACTATGCGGGGCCGGTACAAAAATGAAGACACTTTCACCCCACCCACCCCCATCTAATTTCTATATCATTAAAAAAAATAAATATTCAATGATAAATAGGTTATTTTAACACAGTCTGATTTTTAATTATAATCTGTTTTAAACAAACTAAAAATGTCTAGGGCTGCCCTAGTTTAATGGCCCGGTGTGATCGCGCCTTCTGCACATCGTTAAGGCGGTTACTGCATTTTGGTTTTGCTACGAATATTAAATCCAGGCTTCCTTACATTTGTCCCTAAGGAATATAACATGCGGAAGGAAAGCTAGTGTCGGTCGAAAATAAGCAGACCAAATTGTGCCTTCTCTATAACTGCAATAAACTAAATGTCAAGAGAGACATTTATGTTGTCATAAATTCGATGTAATCGACAGACGTGAGCACTAGCAGGTGTAGACTTCGCAATTTTGAACCCGTTTAATTTTAAATTTTGAACTCTAAGCTTATTTATAGTTGAAATTCAATGGTATGCGTATATTTTGATCTACGGCAGATCACAAATTAGTCAAAATATGACGAGCAATCAATTCAAGTCCAGAC